GATTCAATATTAATAATTATGAGCGTCCGCAGGACTTTTTCTAGGGAGGGGGAGGGCAGTCTTGTCACACGTAAGGAAAAAAATGTTCAAATATTTTTTTCCTTAGTGACCTTATAATTCCTACAGTGTCAAGTTAATGATTTTTTTTTGTCACTTATTCTAATATTTACTCCTTTTAGTTGAAAGCTTCCTCACCACGACGAGGTAGGTGTATGTCGAGGAAGGTATTTCGTTTTTTGAGTTTATTTTTTTTTGTATTTTTGTATTTCAGAATTATAACTCCATTAACATGAGCTTTTATTTAACATGCGTCTTTCGACCAAGAGGAGGGAAAGGAGACAAATATGCCTCCCTTGCCTCCCCCCCTTTGGACGCCCACGATAAAATTTATACATTATAATTGTATTTTTTACATTATAATTGTATTATATTATAATTGCTCTTTTATTAATTTAAGCTTTTGTACAGACATTTAAAAAGTTAATAAAATATATGATTTTTATAAAAATCAATTTTCATAAATCTTTTACAATTTTTATAATCATTTTTTTATAGTTAAATTAGTTTTTTATAATTAAATCTTCTTGCAATTAATATGCGTAAGTTCTGAATAACATATTCAGAAACGGCATCGATATCTTTACTAGAAAATAAAATACAAAAAATTCAAATTGTGCATTTCTTCCTTGTTATTGTATATTATATTCTTGCTGTCATAATTTCACAAGGGATACATTAATTAATAACTTTCTTCTCTTTTTGATTGCAATAAATAAAAAATTTGTTTTACACTCGTCTACAAAGCACGGGAAAAGAACGAGCGTAATGAATTGAGCGTAATAATTTCTATTCTAGAACTGTTCTTAGTTAACATTACTATAAAAATATCTTTATCCCTTAACATCCCTTAATTATTTATCTTTTTCTTTATTTATCTTTATACAATACATTTCAAACAAAGTTTAAAGATTTAAACTTAACATCTGAAATGAAGAATGCTATAAAAATACTTTTTTTGGCTGCAGAAGAAAAGAGGAAGAAAATTACTAAGGATACGTTCTTCTTGACTAATTATTTATTAATGCATCTACTCTAACGTATCACTCCGCAAAATCTTAATCAATTATATTCAATTCATTACTTTTACATTTACAGGCTATTTCATTATTTATGTTAGAATATATATCGACTACGAAGTATCTTTACGAGAGATTGTTTGTTGTATAGGATGTGCTGACGAATTTACGTATACGCTGATAGATTGGGTACACACATTTGATTTAACATTTCGATTAACGTTCATCAAACATGCAGCACGCAGCACACAACGCGATAACAACCCCTTGTATCGCTCATTTTTGACTGGTAGCAACTTTTCAGATAATTGTTGTCGTTAGTTGTAGTGCGGCGGTGAATTTTCAGCGTCGATAAATCCCGTCCCCGTGACACGAATCCATTCGCTATCAAACTGAGGATAAAATCCTCTCTGAAAATCGGGAATTCGTGTGCTTCGAGGTATTGTATTTATCGAGCATTTTCTCTAATACGATAATCATAACGCTTACTCGTCTTGCGTTACTGATACATTTTTTATGATAAAATTATTGGTAAGTATAAAATATAGTATTTATAGTAAATTTGAAAGTCAGTTTTATATTATAATTTTATTCTTTCATAAATTAACATTATCAAATAGAAGAAATATGAAAAATGTCGCTTTGAAAAAAATGTTTAAAAAATAGATTACATTTGTATGTACATATTGGAGTGAAATTTTACTCTTTTGAAGTAAAAATTTACTCTAAAAAGAGTGAATATTGTCACTCTTTTTCAAGAAGTGAAATATTTTCACTTGTTTTCAAGAGTGTAATATATTGTTTTCATTCTCTTTGAGTAAGATTTTACTGCAAGAAATTTAGAGTGTGAGAAATTATTTTACCTCGATAAGCTAATATTTTTGTGCGTAATTGTGCGAAAAATGGAATACATAAACAGTAAATTTATTAAATAAACAATTTTTTAATGTAAAATATGTATACAATTTACGTAAATTGATTGATGCAATGTTATAGTTAGTATAACTCGTTTATTCTTACCGCAATTTTTTCACTAAAATAGCAACTAAAAAAAGATTTAAAATATCAGTTACATTTTCGCCAAATTTAAATATTTTCAATGTATTGACTATTTCACTCCCTGGTTAACTTGTTTTTATCTGCTAGTGGATAAAATTTCATGTAGTGTACAGCAGTTTTATATTTCAAAACAGGAAAAGGAGGTTAAGAGATTCCGAATATATGTATGAACAGAGTAGGTACATATATGAAATAAAATAATTTATTTAGAATATTTTTCGCTATGAATACTTTATATAAGGCTGATTAGAAGCAAACCTGTCGAGGAGCATTTTTAACGTGGTGTAATATTTGAGTTTGTCTTTTTGCATATGTGCTCTCTGTCATATATTTATATATGCACATATATATATATATATATATATATATATAATATAAAACAACATATATTTAATCAAGAATTTTAAAGAGCAAATAGTACGTAGTTATAAATAAATTATTAATACGTATACATAGATTAAGAATACGTATAAATCTATTGCTCGCGAGAAGAAAAAGTGATTTTATTTCAATTTAATTTATTTACGTGAGAAGTAAATCATAAACTGAAACGAGACTTTATTTTTTTTCTGCTTTAAAAAATTTTTTTTAATTTTAGACCATTTTTCGTCTGCATCATTTTTTCTCTAAGTCTTATGTCTATTTAATAAGAATTAATTATGAGCTATGCCACGTAATCTTATTATTAATTATAATAAATAAGATTATGCGGTCATATATAGTCGCTGAAAACAATCCTCGAGATAAATTAACCCTCCTTCTGCTGGTTTTGGAATGTACACGCGTACATATAAAGTGGACTTAAGGTCCAACCGCAATGACCGCAGGGTGATTTCACGAATTCGCAACGCGAGCTTTCTGACGTCATAACATTTCCAATTTTCATATTCCGGTTGTTTTGCGTATTACGTATAGTACTCACAATGTCATCCCCGAACATTGTTATATGAGTTTCAAATATTGCTACGCTTTGAGGTTTCATTATTATAAAATCGAGCGGTAATAAAAGACCATTATTAATTATAATACATATATAGGAATGTGCACAAAACGAAATATGTGGAACCAGTATCGATATTGAGCCTTCAAGGCTCATCCTTTTTAATCCTTTACGTTGTATTTGATGATTTTATTATTTTACATAAAATTTATTGATAACAGCAATATAAAAAAAACATAAAACTTATTTGAATTTTATTTATAATGTAATAAAAAAGTGATACGATATCGGTTAAAAATTTAATTCGTCAAGACGTGATAACTCGAGAAAAGATATATAAATTCTAGTTATGCTTTATATAAGATTAAATAGAACTTTTTTTTTAAGTCTTGATTAAATTTTTAATCGATATTTATTGCATTTTTACTGCGACCAATTCAAATATATACGCACGCGCACACAAAATATACGGGGTAAAAAATTTCATTAATATAGGACAAATATCTCAAAAGTATAAAAGACACAAGAAAAAAATTTTAAACAAAAGTTATTTAGTCTGGATAAGACGTAAATAAAATAATTTTCGAAAAAAATCAATTTTTCTATTTATTTAAAACAGTGGATTTATACCCTTTTTATATAACTTATCGCCATTGTTTTAAATAAATAGAATGATAAAATAAATAGAATTTTTTTACACAATATGATTCCTCTAATTATTCAGCATATAAAAATATTAAGATAATGATCGAAAAATCAATATTTTTCGAGTGATTTATTTCATGGTTGATATGAAATGTTAAATATCTCGTAAACTATTAATTAGGATCGAGACACTGTCGGGTCTCTTGGTTTTTTAATAATGATACACTTTTATGACATTTTTATGCAGAATAATGAAATAAATCAATTGGTGTAAAACCAGCAACAAAGTTGCTTTAAAAAATATGTAGTATTAAATACATCAAAATACATCTTTGTTATATCGTTTGATTTGTCATATACTAGACATTCAAAACATACACGTCGATTCAGTAAAATATAATTTTAACGTCTAATTTTATGTGATCAAAATAATAACGATTATTTTATGATTTGTCTAAAAATATGAAATTCATCTGATATAATTATAAAAGTCTCAAACACACTGCGCTTCCAATAGTTGGTTAGACAGCAAAACGATGAAAGAGAGAGAAACATTGTTTGCAGACCATGACAGACGTAAATCAAATTACGCGCAAAATGACGGATGGTCCCAGAGTCCTTGTTACGATTCCCACAGAGCGAGATACGAACATTACGGAAACATCGTTTGTAGCCGCAAACTGTGTGCGATTATCACTTGATTCTACCAACAATTACAACAATTATCCTATCTCCTTTTCACTTTTTGAAGAAAAAGAAAAAATCGCGAATCAGGATAGTCACAAGCGTATAAAAAAAAAAAAAACAAATTGACGCTTGTTTGATCGTTGCAACTTTGTGGATTATACTTTCTCTCCTAGTCTTCGTCTTTCATCCCTTCGTATACTGTTTCTTCTCCTTCTTCTGCTCCCTTCACCCTCTGCGTCCCTTTTGCGTGGTCGCGCGGCCTTACCATCCCTCCGGGCGGCACTTTATTCCACTCTTGCCCCGACGCGACGCGACGCGACGCGACGCGACGCGACATGGAGTAGGTGGTCGCGGGGTCGATGGGTGCTAGGAGTGAGCGCGGTGGGATGCGGTGCGGTGGAACCGTGGGAGTCGAGTGTGACGTTCTCCACGGGGGTGGCGTGGGTGGTCGATGATAGGGAGGGAGAATAGAGACGGGAGGGGTAGACGATCATCTCCCCTCTGCATCCCCCACCTTCCACCACGCCGCGCCGCACGGGCGCCAACGTGAAGCGCTTTCGAGACGTTAAGGCCGACACTCGCGTCGCGCACCTCGGCCCGACGACATCGAGCGGTGACGCAGCGACGCACGTGTGCTCGAGGTGTTCCGCGATCAGGCACCCATCGACCCCGAGAACAAAAGGTTTCCGTCGTCTATGCTCTACGCTCTCTTGACAATCGCGATCGAAACATTTTTCGGCGAGTTCACGTTGCGACTTTTGTAGTTGTTGTCCAGATTTTTCGTACTGTATCTTAATTTTTGTCACGCTCGTTTCGTTCGAACGCATCGCGAATTGTTCGCGACACGTGCTGATTTCGCGCGTTAATCGTTATGTGCTTGTCACAGCGGGGGAAAAGGGTGAAGTGTTCGGATAAGTATTCGTAAGTGGAAAAGAGGAAAAGAATTCATAATCTGCCTCGCGGTAGACGCCTGACAGGTTTCTCAATGCGCCCTTCGTCAGGGGGTGAAAGTTGCACGTGGTGGGAATTCGGCGATCTCTGACAACAGCCTCACGGTGAGCACAGGGAGTTGCATACGTCAGTTAACAAGTGAGAAAAAAAGAAAATCCATCTTTAACAAGTGTTCTCACCAAGATCGTCAGGAGAAACCATGAAGAAATCTTATTTCGTCTTCGTGAGTACTGAATTTTCTTTATCTCGATACACCCGCATAGACTACGATTGTCTTTCAATCAATGATGAAAATATCTCTTGCTACTTGAGCTCCCTTTTTTCGTGTTTCTTAATTTTTTCCTTTCTCCTTTTTCTGATCGTCGTCGCTTGAGAGATGACGGGAAAACAAGTTGAATCTCCTGGGACTCAGACGTATTTTATGTTCGTCCAGACTCTTGCTTGTTTCGCGAGGAAGATCAAAGGCCACGAGCATCACTTTAATCTGCCAATGCGATGGTCGCTGTATCTTTCTCATATCCCTTTGAGTGGCCTAACTTTTGAATGCGGTCTCTAAGAGCTAGGGAACCTTCGTGTCCTTTCGCTGCACGAGCCACCCTCGTCTACAATCCAAGAACGGTGAAATTAACGACGTGGCCACGTGACTCTCCCTCTCCCTCTTCTGTCTAAAGGTTGAAGGAGAACGAGGTCAGTCGGTACACGCGAGTCGACCAATGTCGGTTTCCAGGCTTTTCGGAGCGCCTTCAGATATAAAATTACAAGCTACGATTAATTTTATGAGATCCATAAATTTTGTATCATCTTCATGTCCATAAAATATTATGTATATCTCTGTTTATGTTATTGGCTAGATTAAATCTGGAAAGTGAATTTTTAAGCTTGAATCATATTATTTGGATTATTGCTCCAATAAATTCGTTTTCTTAATACAATAATTTTGTAGAAATGGTTTGCATTTATATTTATCTAGATTTAATAAAAATATAAAAATGTAAATTACTGGATGAAGATATTATTAAGTTTAACTTTTTATTCATGATGTATATAAATATAAAATGCAGTATTGGAATATATTTAATTATTTACAAAAAATATTGTAATATTTCTTTCACATTATTTAAGTCATATTAATCGTATGAGATACAATTGAAAGTAGTATTTTTCGATTACATATAAAAGTAGGAATTACGTTAATATATGAAGATTTAATACACGCGAATGTATAATTTTATTGATTAAAATATTATACAAGTTATAAGATAACACGTATAATACATAGCTATTTCTAACGCGATATAACACTTTTTTTATAATAGAAATCTGTCGAAAGTCATCGAAAAGTATCACTGTCAGCGGATTCCTGCTCGACAAAAGACGATTTTTCCACGATGTCCTATGAATTTTGGGGCATCCTTGTTTGAAATAGCAGAAACTTCGCCGAAACGAACTTTACGAACGAACTGCGTTGCGTACAATACAAAAGAGAAGCTTCCGCGCTTCTTCAACAGCGTCTCGAAAGAACTCAGAAGAGAGCGCAGAACTAAAGTAAGGAAAGCAACGGCCATATAGTCGGTCGTATTTTTGGCGTTCACGAGTTTCAGAGCAGAGAATTTATCGGAGTATGCGATGCATCCATTGTTGGTTCACGGATTTATTCATGAAGCTTGTTAAATGTTTTGAACGTAACTTCTACTCCGATTTTTTAACTATCGATGAACGTGTTTTATTCTCATTTAGATATTGAGCAGGGTTTATTATTAATTATTAGTATGTGCGTATATTCTTATTATAATATATTGCAATGAAAACGTCATATAACGGATTTTTTTACCTAACATTTCATATAAAAGATTAAATAAAAGATTAAATCCTACATGAAAATATCTTTCAACAATATCCGAAATATTGATACGAGAAATATAACAATGATTCCTATCAATAGAAGATTGATAAAGTGCGTCTTTTGATCGCTGAAATCACTATTTCCACTTCGTTTTCATTTCTCACGGAAAAAGAACAACTACTTCCCTCCTTTTAAAAGAGTTTACGAGCGCTCCGTAATTCTTGAATATTTTTCTCGCATTTTCCGCATCTTTACGAGGGTCTCTCTCTGTCTTGTACAAAATTTTCCACCCCGTTTCAAAATGTGAGCAAATCGCTATGAGAACGAAGAAACGGAGCTTGTAATCTACGAGATACAATGCTCGAGATCTCTTGTCCTGATCTGCATCTTTCTGTCGCCAAGATCGCCTTTTCTCACCTGTCGAAAGAGATAAAAAAAAAGGAACGATCGGGCGACCTTCCCCTTCGAGTTTACTTTATTACCTGTCGATTATATACGGCCACCCCCAGAGCTCTTGTTATTCTGGGCCTATTCTTGAATCTCGCAGCTTGGGACTTGTCGCAGTCTATCTTTCTATGTTTCTGCTCGCCTCTCCAGCCCTATACCTGTAAAGGATCTAGAAAAGATTCAAGTCGACAAACAATGCTGGCGGGATCAGTACAAGCCAACTATTCCCACAAATCTTCGTGAAAAATAGTGTTACACGAAGATAAAGGATAGGTATGTGGGCGCCAACAGCTAATAAGAAAAGATAATTATTAGAATATATTTATTAGTATCATGAATGAACAAATAAAATGAGAAATAGATGGAAAGTATTTTTGGCATTCCATCTTAAGAAGTATGTGTGTATATCAAATATATTATATATAAACTAAATTAGGCTGATTGTTATAAGATAAATTTTAATTTCTTGACAGTGGGGGCTATATAATTTTAATATCTATTACCTAATCATTATTATTTATAATCTATTATCTAATATCACTGTCTGAAGAATTTCTCAAAATAATGGTATTTTATGTAGAGTTATTTTGTAGAATGCTTTCTCGTAATTAGTAAACTGTCAGTATGGGCTTAGGACTTTAAATATTTCTGTACGTGAAAACCCGTTAGTTCTAGAATTCACGATTCCGAGGCAGGCAGTACACTACATAAAGGAAAGATGCGATGAATATATAACAACCAGGTAATACACGCTTGTGCGATACATTTCCGACGTATATTTAAAATAAAGCGCATTTACATCTCTGTGCAATATGCTTATTATATTTGTTTAGTAAAGCAAGTATGGCAGAACAGATTTTTGCGCAAGACAGCTGATGTTTATGAGAGGTAATAATAACATTAATACCTTCTTCTGTAATTTTTATCATGAAAAAAATATTATTCTAAAAATGGAAAAATTTTAATATAACGCATCAAAATTGTTTAACCATTGTTTTTGAAATGTTTTGTACAATACATCGCCAAAATATATAAAGTTGAATAAATGTCCCAGAAAATACAAATTCATAATAGAATAAGAGATTTATATAAAGTAACATGAATAAATAATGAGAATTATTTTAATAAAAATTTTTAATTAAAATTAAACGACTTGATTTACATTTTCTAAAAACGTTTTCTTTAAAAATCCGATTAAAAATACGTATTTACACATAAACTTTCAACAAACAGCATATATATTTAAAAAATTACAACTTTTATGACGGAGAAGCGGGGAAAAAAAATACAGTTGTTTTACTGTGAAAAAGTAGAGAAAGAATCTATCACGGAGATAAAAGGTGAATTTACCAATAAGTGCTTATCGCAAAAAAAAAAAACAATTGAAGATAAAAATGTCTTGATATTCATTTATCAATTTTGTAGTGTTTCAGCTATACTATGCTTTCATGCTATACACGTAGACTATATTATATTTTAGCAATTTTAATCTGATATTTAAAAAGATGAACTTCATATAAAAGGAATACTATTCGTGATTTCTATACAAAGCGTATCCTCTGCTCCCCGAGGAAGATATACGCAAATTTATCGCATGATACTGTGACCCTTTATAGTGGGTCGGAAATCCAAACAGGGGACTTATTAAGAAGAAAAAGACCTGATATTAATTATTGAATTGATTTTGTTTATGGTTTGTTATGTAATATGCTATTATTAGGTGTTGGAATTAATTCGTAGCATTTTTTAATGAAAGAATGTTATTTATTTCACATGAGCATTAAAAAATACATTAATGAAAGTACTTCCCATCTCTTGTAAAACGCTACGAATTAATTCCAACACCTAATATATTATGTAGAGAAGATTGAAATTACATATTGATAGAGTAGGCTAACTTTTCAGTTTAAATTTTTACAGACAAAAAACTAAGAGACTTATCGAAAAAATTAAATTCCATACCAGCCACTATATACATTTGATGAGCTAATATTATTTTAATAATAAGTGGAAACTCATAAATTATATCAAAGAAAAAAAAACATTCTTTTCTAATGCATTCCGTACATGTCAACCAGCCAGTGCTCGACAAGAATAGAATGACACATAATATGGGATAAAAGAATTTAACTGTAGGATTATTAAATTAAAAAATAATAAATTTCGGCTCGCGATTATTAATATCTCAGATTGTGTTTAAATGTTTGAACGTTTCGGCGCACAATCACATTTGAGATAAATTAAATTCATGAACCAAGAACATTATTTTATTTGAAACATCTAACTTTAATCTAGGCGCTCTTTATTATATTTATGTTGTTAAAAAGTAATATATTTTAACACATTTTAATACATTTTATTATATCTTAATTAAAAATTTTGCAAACAATAAAATTCTAAATAAAATTTATAAAAGTATTGTAACTCTTTCAGAATAAAAGTAAACAAGAATAAAAACGAATTAGAGCTACATTTTTTAATGAAAATATAAAAATACATCTTAAATAAAAGTACATCTTAAATAAAAATATCTTTAATGAAGTAAAAGATACCGAACATTTAACATTTATGTTAATACTTAACATATATATAAATTAATATTATAATACAATTATTAATATTAATATATGTTTAATTATTATATTTAAATGGGTATTATATTTTAATTATTATTGTATATATCTTTTTATTATTATTTAAATCAAGTAAAATTAAAAAAAATTATTCTTTAGATATATTAAAAATAAAAAAAGGATTCTATAAAATTCATCACTAAATGAGTGATATAGCCTCAAGATAATTAGCTTAATTAATCTAATAGACCAATTTATTCATTAAGGAAAAAACATTTACGGTATATGAATGCAAAGAAGATAAACAAAAACAAACAATACTAGAAATTTAAAGTGCCTATTACGGTCAAAGTTGGATCT